GGTGACTGGCTAAGAAAAGAAATACGGGGACACCTACGGTATTTCCAATCACGGATTAGGCCCATATACTCAGCCAAGATGGTGGAACAACTTGGTTTACGTTTTAAAAAAAGTATTAGAAGACAGAGAAAGCAAAAGACACGTTTGTCCCAGCCACTATGGAAGGTTGAATATCCCATATCTCTCGGCTGAAAGCTCTTTAGTATCCCATAAGGTAAAGTATACTTTATTCCTATTGATGTTTAAGGATGGATTCAAATAATGGTTGACTTGTTGGTTAAGCTTCATAAGTCTATATTATGTCATGAAATCACCATTTAAGAGGCATTGATGTAATCACATTTTGTATAAAATGTCTGCACAAGTTTGATACTTTGTAAAAATGGTGAAGACATGCAAACACTGATGAGACTCTCTCTCTCTCTCTCTCTCTCTCTCTCTCTCTCTCTCTCTCTCTCTCTCTCTCTCTCTCTCTCTCTCTCTCTCTCTCTCTCTCTCTCTCTCTCTCTCTCTCTACATCCCCCATAGACAGTGTAATAACGAGGGAGTGTTGTTCTTTCACAGTAACAAACAGCATTCTTCAGCAGAAAAATACTGACAAAATTACTAGTTTGTCATGTTCCTTGACACGAAAATTACCATCGACGAAATAAAAGGTTCATGTAATAAATATCTTTTTTCCATAAAATCTTTTTTTCATATTTACATGGTAGAATATACAAGTGATACTGAAATAATCTGCATTCGCACAAAATATTATCGCTCCCCCTTACATCCATAATCTCACATATATTTAAATAAATTATGTATATATATATATATATATATATATATATATATATATATATATAAATTATTTATATATATATATATATATATATATATATATATATATATATATATATATATATATATATATACTTATACATGCATGGATGCATGCATGCATGCATGCATGCATACATACATACATACATACATACATACATACATACATACATACATACATACATACATACATACATACATACATACATACATACATACATACATACATACATACATACATACATACATACATACATACATACATACATACATACATACATACATACATACATACATACATACATACATACATACATACATACATATACATATATACACACATGTACATACACATACACACACACTGTCCATATATACATTTAAAAACCAATAATCCATATAAAATTGTACATGGTATTGGCACACTTTACACCTAGACGAGAACGTTATACATAAAAGGATTGTTTCATTGGACATTATAAATGATTTGACTTTTATGGAAATATTGAAATTATTAATCAATGTTCTTTTCTACAAATCTAGGTATTATATTGGTTTAATTAGAGATAGTATCCTAAATATTATTAGCAAGATGTGTCGTGTATACTGGTAAAGTACAGTAAAAACTCGTGCTAAGCAAAGGAGAATGTTAGCACGTGCGGCTTGAGATACTCTTAGACTAACGTTATAGGTGGATTAAAACATTATGGCTAAAGGCTATGTGCTAAGAGTTAGGGAGAGATTCTAAAAGGATATACTATTGGGTTTGTGGAAATCGAAGGGTGAGTAGTGAATAATATTCTAGGCTTATTTCAATTACTAATTCAAAATTGGAGAAAAAACAGAATATTCCAACTAAACACCATTTATCTATAAAGTGCACTATGTTAAGTCTGGAAAAGTCAGGTATGATTCTACATTTTAGTCGAGAGAGAAAGAAGGATAACAAGGTGTTACCAGTTACCACTTCTTTATGATAATATGCTCATATACGTTTAATTCATGTTGCATATTTATATTCAGCACCTAGTAAAAGGCATAATTCCTTGAATTCGGGTTCCGGGAACGAGGCCCCATTCGGGATAAGGCCGAATTTAAGGAAAGTATAAAAGGTATTGAAAAAGTTTGTTGAAAGTTTTTTCAACCATTTGATAATGAGCTGCTGTAGAGGGAGTATTAATTTGCATTCGATAAATATATGATCAGTAGTTTCAATGTTGCCGCAAAAAAGGGCATAACTTAGATTTAGAAATATTTTTTAAAACATGTTGTAGTTAACTGGTAAAATGTCATGTACGGTTTTAAAACACACATCTCTAGTGATGGGATCTAAATATTTATTGTGCAGGTTTTTCCAGATGTTGATGAAGTTTAAGTCGTATAGTTTGATTTTGTGTTCCAGAAGGTAGTTTCGTAGTTGTCTTTGATGCAACAATTTTGTGGGGATTTGACCAAAATCGAGATCGAGATTATTCTCGTGAAATTCTTTGAAAATGGTTATGCAGTTTTGATAAAATTCTTGTACATATAGTGTATGAGTAAATTTGTTAAGGCCTAAGTTAGAGTTGAAAGATCTTAATTGTAAACCGACCCAATACCTTGCAAAATCTTTCCATTTGGCTGAATACTCATCATCGAGTAATTTTTGAATATGTTGTATACGTATTGCTTGTAGTTTACATTTTAAATGGGTGATGTTTAATCCTCCATTGAGGAGTGGGTTGATACGTACGGCTCTAGCGAGAGGTTCGAATTTAGAATTCCACAAAAATGTGTAGATGTTCCAATTGATTAGTTTATCATAATGTTTAGGTAGATCAGTCACAGTTGCAGTATACCAAATTTTGCTGCAAGCTAAAAGATTACTAACGTGGGACTTAGAAATGAGAGGCAAATTTCTACGTTTCCATAGTAATAGTGTATTCGTCAGTTTAGTAACATTTTTGTTCCAGTGATAATCGTTACTTAAATCGTTACCAAAATAAAAATCTAAATTTTTGTTTGTCGATCCAGGAAATGCCGAAATGATGATCACTGCGGTTTTGCCATTTGCCCATAAACATACCGTTAGATTTACAGTAATTTACCTTAGCGTCGGAAGCGCGATCATACATGCGAGACCAAAATAAGTACCGTTCGATCGATTTGTCCGTGCAAAAGAAACCTGTACTATTGTCTGCGTAAATGGATATCTTACGGGTCTCTGTTGCATCAGGCACTTGAATACCTATAATATATGGGTCATTTAGAATTTTAATTGCAAAAGGTTCATACACTATTACAAAGTGGGGAAAGTCTGCAACCTTGACGAACTCATCTGGATATTAAAAAGGAATCTGAAATAAAAATAAAATGGTTTACTATAACTGATGAACGAATATCAGTATAGAAAATCGAGATCCATTTAATAAAATCGGGGTGAAATCCAAAGGATTATAACTTTTTTTTAACATAAATTGATAATTTACTTTATCGAATGCCTTTTCTTGATCTAAGGGTATAAAGGCACATGATAGTTCTTTTAGCTTTGTGTAGTCACAAATATTTCGTATAAGGTGACCGTTATCAAAAATAGATCGAAATTTAACTCCATATGTTTGATCTATGTGTATTATTTTGGACATAACATTACCAGGTCGATTAGTAATAGTTTTTAATAGAATTTTGTAATCTAAATTTAATAGAGAGAGGGTCTCCAATTTTTCATATTATTTGAATTTTGAGGTTCCTTACATAATAACGTTTTATATGATAGTTTTTGCGAGTCAGAGTTTTTGATTCAAAGATCAAATTATATAAATGGACTAAGGTGTCGCCTAAGAATTCAAAAAACGTGACGTAAAACTCTTTTGTGAGACCGTCAGGTCTAGGTGATTTATTTGGTTCCATCATACTTAAGATTTCCAAATTTCTGCTTTAGTGATTGGTCCAGTAAGAAATCTTCTGTGGTTAATTGAGGTAACCCAGTTAAAAATTCTTCAAATAATTCTTCATCAATTGTTTCAGTGTTAAATAGATTTGAATAAATTTTTTTAAAACAGTTTAAAATATCAGCACTAGAGTTATAGGTCAAGTTATTATACTCAATTTCAGTGATAGTTTTCTGGGAACCCTTGTTTTCTAATTGAAAAAAGAATTGGCTCCGTCTTTCGTTGTTATCTGAAATTTTTGCTTTACCCCTAATGACTGATCCTATATATTTTTTCATTTTGTAATTACTTGATAGACATACGGAGTTCATGTATCTGAAGAAAAAGTTCTTCGTTATTAACTAAATCATATTTATGTTTCAGATGTTGGTAATCTTTTTTCATTAATTTAATTGCATAGTTTTTAATGTTACTAAGTTGTTTGGAGTATCGAATGATTTTTTTCTTTAAGTTTATGTTTTAGCTCATCCTAGTATTCTAGTGTGAGGTTATACTATTTTAGTTCTCTCCGTATTAGGTTAGCAATGAGTATTTTCAATGTAGTATGGTCCAAATGCGAGTTATTGCATTTCCAGTATCCTTTACCATATAATATTAATAGGTTACAAGTGATGGATAAAATTGCTGCATCGTGGTCAGACTGAGTAAAGTTAACTATTGTCGAGTTAGTGATGAAATCTGCTGTTTTGTGAAACGTATAATCGATCATTGATATAGTTTAACAGAAATTACCTCCCTTTATATAAACCTGAATGATAGTTCTACCAATATCGTTTTGTCCGGAAACCGTCGATGTTGATACGAATTTAAATACTCTTACCTCGGAAAGCAATACTTTTTTATTTTTGTTTCATTTTTAATTGATTGGGCAAAAAATCTCCGTAAATTGTTTTTCACACACACACAACACACACACACACACACACACACACACACACACACAAAATGTGACCGAACTGAAATAATTGTCTGTATTATTAAGCAACATTGATTATTTGTCATATCTTTTGTTGATTTAAAACTCCTAACAATCGACTGAATTTGAGTTAAAGATACCATGACATGTGCATCATCGATGCACTGGTCACTGATTTACGACATGTAAGAGATTGGACATCGTCACTATACTCACCCAGTCACATTATCCTGATACCAGGCCGACCAGTCCTAATACTAACCTCTCAATGCTAAGCGCCTAGCATGGCATCTGTTAGGACCATTTTTTAAAAAACGTCTTTGGTATGACTCAGCAGGGTTCGTACCCGCGACTTCCCGCATCCGAGGCGGACGCTCTAACCACTAGGCCACCGGAGCTGGAGAACTTACTATAATTTTAATGTAAATCTCTGCTCTGGAACTGGCCGGGCATGACATATTGGCGATGTCAATGGACTGAACTGCATTTCAATTATACTATTTGGACAGACACTGATTACAACCCAATAGGTGTAGTTACAAAACAGTAATTTTTTGCAACGAAATACTTGTTAAACTGCCAAATGCATTGCACAAGACCTCTTGGACAACGAAAAAGGAAGCATTAACACCAGTGAGCTTCGCAAAGGGAAATAATCTGCCAATTTTTTCCGACTGAGTAAACCAGTTCGGAGTTGACAGAGACGCCATCAGCAAAGTCGTGGTCAATCCTCGACTGTATGCTGACAGTGCCGTTCAGTCCACCTTGGTTATCCTCGAAACAAAGATTGGCCCAGAAGATCCATGAAACAAAGATTGGCCGAGATGATCCACGAAAAAAAGTTTGTCCGAGACGGCGTGAAGTCATTGAACTTGAACTTTTTTAATTCGCAACTTCATGGTCAATCATGCAGGCAATACATTCGTAAGTAATGGGAGGTTCCACTCTACAGTTAATTGCGTACTTCTGAAACCTAGATTGGTTTAAAGTGACGTTGTGTAAATAATTCAAGGGGCGCCTTGGAGAGAATGATATATCATTATGCTACAGGTATAACGGTACCAATTGTACAACCCCAGGTGGGCGGAGCTTAAGGTGTAGGGAACATTGCATTCAGAAATAAACGACAAAACTAGCTGTGATTGGTGCATTATGTAAAAGTTGTACTTTCTGTTAGGCTTTTAAAAAAAGTTGAGCCTCTTGGCAACATGTGACATTATGTTAATTCATATCTAGATCACATTTTGTATTTTTTAAGATTTTTTTAAAATGTGGTACACATGACAAAATGTGTCCGGTGTAACTAGATAACTCTTACCCCTGTCTAGTTCCAGCAGAGTTATCTCCTATTTTCGATGTTGTCAAATTAACAATCTAACATTGCTCTCTGTGACAGTGTGTGACATGCATGCTGATGTAGGATAGAAAGTATATTTATTTCGCAAAACATTAGCATTGCGGTCTATGGAAAAGCTATTGGTACCATGATACCTATACTCAAGTACTGCGACTGAAATTTCTTTAAATGTAGTATTAGGGAAACAACGCTGACAGCTGATCGAAATGGATGTCCACATAAGCTCGAGAAATAAACTTGACATAGTCGAACGAGAGTAGATTTAGTAGTTATTCAAATGTGGAAAATGAATTTTGCCAGAGTAGATAATACCTACTACTGAAAGTGCAATAAATAAATGATAAAATGTTAAAACTTAATACGTTATCAGCCAGTTACCTCCCTCTCCAGCTTACCGCTGAAATCCAAGAAGTAGAAATGACCAGGCGGAGTTAGCAATCTTTTGAGAGACACATATAAAGTAAGGCCAAGCTGTATACTCTATAACCCAAAGTACAACCAAATATCATACACCAAATTAAAGAGAATTAAAAGTATTTTAATAATGCTGAAGGTATAAGAGGTCTTTTGTAAATAAGCAAGACGATAAACTTATGCAAAATACAAAACAATAGAAAGGAACATGACTCTATTGGGATTTCTTTTCAAGCGGAAACATTTCCAGCCAAGAAAACAAAAAAACTGCGCTTACATATATCTGATGCATATCTATCTCAGAAAATGTCAGAGGACAGTGACGTAAACCTTTTCGATCAATAGACTGGTTAAACTTTCATACACTCTATTTATTTTCAGAACACGTTAGACTTAAGTGAATCTAAATGAGTAAATCTTTAATCCCCTATTGCAAGTGGAGCGGACATAGATTGTCCAATTGCTAATGATCATACACGTCATATTCTTGCAAAGACTGCAATTATTGCTAGCTAGTAAAAGGGCGAGGAGGAATGGTGGTTATTACTGTGATGTGTCGAATTTTGAAAACTCTTAGAAGCTTTGGTTAAAGGAATTGTATCAAAGTCAACTTAATTAAAGTATAAAGGGCTAGAGATAGTTAGATGATTATTTTAATTTCATCTCTGAACGGCAAAAGGGAATTCGTTCTAGCCGACGTAACATGACCGAGTCAGACGCTATGGTACAAGAGAATGACATAAGACCATTTCGCAAAATCGACTGGGAAAAGGGCAGGAGATGGCTATAGATGATTGTTCAAAGTAAAGTTAATTACGGCATGATTAGTTTTTTAGTTGTCTTGTCAATCCAAAAATTCTACGGAAAAGATTAAGGAAACAGTCTATTCCGATTGGTTAATATGGATTTATGGGCGTAACTCTGTAAGAAATTAAAGGTTTTACTTTAGGAAAATTTTTTAGTCTTCAAATTTTTACTTGGAAAAAGAGTGGTCGAGACTCCGGGAAGAGCGTGTAGGACGTTATCTCGTGATTTGGCAATAAAGCGGGAGTTTTGTTTCAGCGAAGTAGACAAACTCTACATTTGAATTCGTAACAAGTACATTTTTGTTATTGAGTAAGGGGCCAGACAGTTGTCTCAGTTAGGAGACGGACTATACGTGAGGTTCGTGGAAACGAATAAAGAAACGGCAAAAGGAAACAGCTTTCCTTGATTCACGTGAGAAATCCCTGAACAATCACAGGACCAGAACAAGTTCTACGCAGAAATCTAAGTCCAGAGACGATTGTTAAGTCAGAGTTCGACGGACAAGAGTCCAAGACGAAACAGCTAGACAAAGACCGGCAGAGCAGGGACGAACGGAAGTATTAATGTCCGCATAAAATAGGTGATGAAGTCTCTCATCGTTGCACTCAAAGGTCACATCTCATTGGCAATAAGATAGTAATTTAACGTTGAAAGTAATTTTACATTTAAAGAAATTTGTATTGTCTTTTTATTTGAGTACATGTTAGTACCATTTTCCTTCTTTTGTAACGAAGTCATTGATTTCTTTTCATTTTAAATTCTGTTGATAAACTGATTAAATTTTATATTTGTTCATTGAAAGGGGGCTCGTTTTGTTATTTCTTCAATATACTTGTTCAGTGATCTGCATTCTTCTTTCTATCTATCCACACTGGGTAAACTACACAGCGGAGGTCATTGCCTAGCAACGAACCGTAGTGAAAGAGGTTGGTGTGGTTTGCACGCCGCCAATTTGTCACAATTACATTAGTGGTCATAGTGTTGGTGTGAAGAGTAAAATGAGGAAGGAAGATGGGCGTTGGACGTGGTGGTGATGGCGATAGCAGTATCGGGGATCGAACCCACGACCAATGTTCCCTCTAAACTGAGCGAATGAGCGATCGCTCACTAATTTTCGAGACGTCGCTCACATTTTTCGGACCGTCGCTCACAAAAATTCCCGACCAGAAAAAATAATGGCTCTATATAAATTACTCTCACACCTGTCAATTTTAAGTTAAGCCACATCCGGCGACTTCCGCCACGTCTATATCGCTCTTGGTTCGGCAAATTCTTTTGAGTTCTATATTTCAAACTCAAAGTAGTGTAGTTCAGCGCTAAAATTAATTATTTTCTAACCATGTTTAAACGAGAAGCGGAAGAAAGTTCATGTAAGTCAGCGAAAAAACGTTGCATGAAATTTAAAACGGAGTGGTTAACCGAATGTTCTGTGGTAACGGACTTACCACATGGGACCGGACAACACGTGCTCCTTGGTGAAGTTTTTGAATACTCAGAGACAGATGACATGGTATTCTGCAAATTTTGCGTTAAAGCGCGATGTACTAATGAATGGACAACAGGAAAATCATGGAGCGACTGGAAAGTGGATCATTTTAAAAGACATTTGACGCAGAAATATCATACCGAAGCGATCACAAAGCTTAGAAACCAAAGTAGAGGACTGCTGAAAACCATACTAACGGAATCTGTACAAGAACGCGAAATTAGAAAAGAATTCGCTCAAAGAAAGCAGGCAACTCCTGATGAGGTAAAGGTTTTAATAGACAATGTTCTGCTGGCTGTTAAAATTAATTCCTCAATGCTATCAGTCCAGGATATTCATGATCACGTGGCTAAGTATGTTAAAATACCAGAAAGTTGGCGAAGTAAAAACTATGCCTTTGAGTTCATCAATTGTATAAATTCAACCATCAAGACTGGTATACTGAAGGAAATTAAGCAATCAGCTTATCACACTCTGATAGTTGATGAATCCACTGACATTTCGGTGTCAAAAATGTTAATTTTATATATGAAATTTCGGAATGAAAGTGAATCAAATCACAAAACTGTGTTCGCAGGCATTATTAAAATAACATCATGCGACAGTGTGTCGATCTTAGGGGCCATTCGAAAGTTCTATTTGGAAAATGAACTGAATTTGAATCAGATGGTAATGTTTACATCGGATGGCGCATCGGTCATGCTGGGCAAACGAAATGGTGTGGCTGCTCTTTTGCGCCAGTCCATTCCACACTTATCTGAACAACATTGTGTGGCACATCGTGAGGATCTCGGCATAGATGATGCATGGAGATGCATACCCTTGATGAAGGAACTAGAAACTCTATTTCGAACCGTTTATACTATTTTTTCCCGATCGTCTGTTAAGAAGGCAAAATTTGAGGAATTTGCTAATACTGCAGAGGCTGATGCAATTTCTTTTAGACCACTTAACGAGGTCAGATGGCTCTCCAGACATTTTGCAGTGAATGCCTTGGTCAAAAACTATGATATTTTAGTGGAATACTTGCGACAAGTTGTTGAGGAAGACAACGATCCTGTTCACAAATACTGCCTGCAGAAATTAGAAAATCCAGAATATCATGTCGCAATCGTAATATTAAATGAAATTCTAGCTGAGCTAGCAGATCTGTGTAAAATTCTGCAAAGAAGTGTTCTATCAACTGTAGAGGCTTTTCAGTTTGCAAAAGCAAAAGTCATGAAACTCAGGTCACAGTATCTCGGAGATAAGCCACATTTTCATAAAAGTACACTTGATTTGCTTTCCTCATATCATTCTCCAGTGAAAACAGATTCAATTATTATGTTCATTCAG